AAAAAAAAAAAAGGCATACAATAAGGGAACGAAGGCACGCGATTGGTTGAAACAAATCGTTCATAATTTCCCTATTGATCCGATCTACCCATTTGGTTTGGATTGGGAATATTTATTAATCTCTAAGTTTGGATAGTAGTGAAAATTGATGTATTTTAATTTGTAGATTTATAAAGAGATTATTTGATTGGATTATTTTTTAAGTTTAGAATGCTAATCATGAAAAAATTCAATATAGAGAATAAGGCAATACCAGTGGCATCACGTCTTTGTGGAAAATATATTTGTCGTTGGTGGTGATTTCGCTGGCTATACGAAGAAAAAAATTCTTATGCATGCGAAATCTCTGACGGAATACCTCTTCAGGATAGGCTGGATTGTCGGATAGTAGTCATTGAACACATTCTCCTATCCTCTCTCTCGTTGCCTCTCGATGTCTTGTCTTCTACCTCTAAGAACGTGATTTGTTGATTGTAAGACTATATTAGGAATACGAACAATCACATCTTCCATAATACGATCAAATTGTTGATTTTTTGTTGAATCGCTCGTTCTTCCCATTCATCAAATTCGATGCAATTGGAAGTTTCAAAACTAGAACTTGAATTTTCAGATGGTTTTCAGTCGAAGTCATTTCTGAACAAGACGAACTGTCTTATGAAAAATAAAGTTATAATTGATATAAAGAAATTAGATATGAGCTAATTTTTATACCAATTTGATCTGAATTCAACCATATTATATAGGAATGTGGTGTGAAGAGTTTGGGGTAGATTGAACTTAAAATAAAATTAAAGTAAATGTAAAAGAAAAGTAAAGTAAAGTAAAATAAAAACAAAAGTAAAGTAAAATAAATAAAAGCTGGATATAAATTCGATGAATGTGAATTTTTATTGAATAAAGCTATTATTTCATAGTAAAATATAAATTTGATCCGAACTCAATGCATGTGAATTTTGGAAGACAAGGTAAAGCTGCTATTTGATAGTAATAACTCATACACTATATTCCAAATAGCTCTTAGTCATTTATTTTATAAGTGACTATTATACTAGTAGATAGGACAATCATGGAAGTAACATGTGATTTATGAAAAAAATAGAGAAAAATACTTACTAAATAAGTTGAGCTGGTGACCGAATAGGTTGAGTCACCAATAAAAATGGTCTTATAAGCTTATACAATTACTTAATATAATAAATAGTATTAATGTGATCACAAGTTATTAATGCTTGACAACTAGGGCAAAAAAAAAAAAAAAAANNNNAAAAAAAAAAAAAAAAAAAAAGAATGTCATGTAGAAATTAAGCGTTGATTTTAAAGTTATTTGCGGTCAATTTAACTTATAATTTGTTCAACTCAATCGTCGAACATTTCAGGCGCAAAATATGAAAATTCAGAAGACATTTCAAATTTTCAATTATTCTAGCAAAAAGTATGAAAGAAAGAGAGGAATTCGAAACTGACTTTTTGGAAAAGAAAATAAAATAAGACGATATATATATATGTATATATATATATATATATATATATTTTGGGTGCACTATAAGACGATATATTGAACATTACAAATTACAACAGTATATATTATAATTGGTTAATGAAGTAATGCATTGGAAAATATATATAATGCCATCCTAATTATATTATTATTATTATTATTATTATTATTATTATTATTATTATTATTATTATTATTATTATTTTTACAAAAGAGGAGGCGAAAGACTTAAAGAAAAATTAAACTAAGACGCGTCGGGAGTAAGAGACCCCGATAACATTATGATCTAGTCAAGTCCCCAAGCCGGAGGGGAGTGAAGGAACACGCCGAAGTCCCAACACGGATGATGAGGCGAAAGGGTAATGTAAAGACCTTTCATTTCTAGCTTTGGGCTCCCCAGAAATCAAGATTGGACAACAAATCTATGGGCTTTACCTTCGTCGAAAGCCCAAAACTTGGAAATCAATCGGCCCAATTTGATCATCTTGTTATCTTGATGGCATGAAAAAAAATAATAATAATAATAATAATAATAATAATAATATATATAAAAAAGATCAGCTCAAATCTTGGCATATGGCACCAGATTTAACTTTTGTAGCCGGTAGTCCTGTATGGAAAATGAGCTTCTTATGCAACTTGTCATTAGAAGATCCTCATATCTTGCATGAGTCTGTAAATGAACCGAGCAGAGTTCGAGCTTAGAGTGCTCCAGATCGAGCTCGAGCCCTTAATGTGCAGAGCCGAGTTCCGCTCGCTAAATAAACGGGCTTGAAATCGAGTTCGAGCTTGAGTTCTTCTCGTTTATCAGAAATAACGAGCTGAGTTCGAACCAATCTCGAGTTTTAACGAGTCGAACTATAAAAAATTATACAAACATTATCTTTTCAAGCTTTATCGTCGAACCATTGAGCTTTAAATGAGCTCTAGCTCGGCTCGTTTATCAAACTAGTCGAGTCGAGCCAAACTCATCTAATTTAACAGCACCAATCTTGCACAAGGCCAAATTTCCCACTCATGGTCCATGTAATGAGATAAATGAAATCTTGATAACAACCAAGCTAGCTTGTGCTTCGATTCATAGCATCCTAAGTCGAG